AAAACAAACTCTGTAAACTTGCACCTAAAATACAATAAAATAAATAAATAAGGGAAAAGAGGGAAAAAATAAATAAATAGATAGATGTTGAAAGTCTAGCTATTACAATGTGAAAGTCTGCAAAAAAAATAAAAGCATACAAGCAAACAAAAAGTCAACAAGAACTAATAACTGACTGAAAAGTTTGGAAATAATCAATCAACCCAGTACAATGATAAAAAGAAGCATCCTATCCAGACAGCATTCTGATACACCAGAACTACTTTTATATACTATAACTTAACATTATGTGTTTGGCTTTTGTTGAGAAATAATTACATGTAAATCTTATCTTCATTGTTTTAGACATGCGATTGAGTACACTGTTCCTGTGTATGTTAATACCCTATTCAAAAACTTACTAGAAATTCCTCTCAGCATTTACAATCAGTAAAAAATTTTCCCTATGGGTAAATCAGCATCCTAGCCTGTATGTTGCCATTTATTATATATAAAAGACAACAAATTCGCCTATTTGTAATTGGTACCAGATTGCTTGGGACAAAGTTTTATAACGAACTATATACGATGCTTTCTACATTTCCTAGCATAATTATCACCCACTCTTTTATTGCCTCTTTTCCTGGTTTTAATGATTTTATTGTATTTACACATTTCATTATCTGAAAACTTAAAATATTTTTGGCAGGAGTCCCAGAATAAATAATAAATGAGAACTTCAGAGCACCAGGCACCTGAGGTAAATGGCAAAGTCAATACTGAGAGCAAAATGTTAGAAAAAGCTAGTTGGAAGAATAAAATAGACTCACTCACTTCATTTTTTTCCCCCTGAATTAAAAGGATAATAGCAGAAAACTATGAAGAACTGGACTCCAACAAATTTGAAAACATAGAAGAAATAGACAAATTTCAAGAAACACACATTTGCCTAAACTAACATAGACTAAGGCAGAACATTTGAACAGGCCCATAACAGAAGGAGAAATTGAACAGGTCATAAAAAAAAAAAAAATTCCTAACCAAAAAAAAAATTCTGGCACAGATGGCTTCACTGGAGAATTCTACCAAACATTCAGAGAAGAGCTGACACCAATCTTACTCAAACTATTACAGAACATAGAAAAGGATAGAATACTCCCAAATTAATTTTATGCAGCAAGCATAACCCTGATACCAAAACTAGGAAAAGACACCACTAAAAAGAGAAATTACAGATCAATATCCTTCATGAGTATCTTCAACAAAATCCTAGCCAATAGAATCTAACACTACATTAAAAAATAATAGGAATACATCCTGACTAAGTGAGGTTCATACCAAGTATGCAGGGATGGTTCAACAACAGAAAAACAATCAACTTTATCCATCACATAATTAAAACAAAGGAAGAACACCACAAGATCCTGTCAATTGATGCAGAATAGGTATCTGATGAAACTCAACACCCATTCCTGACAAATACTGTCAGAAAAATAGGAATACAAGGGAAATTCCTTTAACATAATTAAGGGCATATAAGTAAAACCAATAGCCAATATTATTCTCAATGGAGAGAAAATGAAAGCATTCCCCTTGAGAATAGGAATCAGAAAAGGATGCCCTCTATCATGATAACTATTCAACACTATATTGGAAGTCCTAGCCAGGGCAATAAGGCAAGAAAGAAAAATGAAAGCCATCCAAGTTGGCAAAAAAAAGAAGTAAAACTATCTCTATTTGCATATGATACAATCCTATACAGAGAAAACCCAAGAGACTCAGCAAGAAAACTACTGTAACTAATTGAAAGATTTAACAAAGTGGCATGATACAAGATCAACATACACAAATCAGCTGGATTCCTCTACCTCAACAAAGAGTGTCTGAAAAGAAGGAAAACAATACCATTTACAATAGCTACCAAAAAGAGAAAATACTTAGGAATAAATCTTACCAGGGACACAAAAGACCTACACAAAAAACTACAAAACACTACTACTACCAAAAAATCGTTGAGACACTTACATAAATAGAAGAACATTTCCATGCTGATGGATAAGACTGAACATTGTGAAAATGTCACTATTACCCAAAGTAATCTATAGATTGGATGAATTGCTGATTCAGATTCTGTCAATATTCTTTAAAGTCATGGAAAAATTAATCACTAATTTACATGAAAAGGAAAGAGCTCAGACAAACAATGCACTGCTGAAAAACAAAGAGGTCTCATACTTTTTGAGCTCAAAACCTACCACAGAGTCATGGTAGTCAAAACCATGGTAGTTCAACCCTGGTATTGGTACAACGACAGTCACACAGATCAGTGGAACAGAACTAAGAACTCAGAAATAGCTCCATCCACGTATGGGCAGCTAATCTTTGACAGAAGGCTGAAACCCATTAAATAGAGAAGTGATAGTCTCTTTAACAAATGGTGCTGGCAAAACTGGATATCCACTTACAGAAAAAGGAAACAAGAGCCATACCTCACACTCCATATACAAAAGTGAACTCAAGACGGATCAAAGACCTATATGTAAAACTTAAAACTATGTTGTTGTTGTTGTTGTTGTTAAGTGCCATCGAGTCGTTTCCGACTCATAGCGACCCCATGCACAGCAGAACGAAACACTGCCCAATCCCGTGCCAGCCCCACAATCCCTGCTATACTTGAGCTCATCATTGCAGCCACCGTATCAATCCATCTCGTTGAAGGCCTCCCCCTCTTTCGTCGACCCTCCACCCTACCAAGCATGACATCCTTCTCCAGGACCAAAATAGGTGAGACGAAGTCTGGCCATTCTTGCTTCCAAGGAGCATTCTGGCTGCACTTCCTCCAGGACAGATCTGTTAGTTCTTTTAGCAGTCCATGGTACTTTCAGCATTCTTCGCCAGCACCACAACTCAAAAGCATCAACTCTTCTTCGGTCTTCCTTATTCATTGTCCAGCTCTCACATGCATACGAGGCAATTGGAAATATCATGGCTTGTGTCAGGCGCACCTTAGTCCTCAAGGAGATATCCTTGCTTCTCAGCACTTGAAACAGTTCCTTCGCAGTTGACTTTCCCAATGCTACACGTCATCTAATGTCCTGACTGCTCCTTCCGTTGGCATCGATTGTAGAACCAAGCAATGTGAATTCCTTGACAACCTCAATCTTCTCTCCATTTATTGTGATGCTGCTCATTGGTCCAGTTGTGAGGATTTTTGTTTTCTTTATATTGAGACATAATCCAATATAAACTTAAAACTATAAATGTCACTAAAGAAATAATAGGGCCAAACGTAGGGGCTCCAATTTATGGCATAAGTAGACTATCAAACATAACCCAAAAGGCACAAACAGCAGAATATAATCACATAGGACAAATATTATATAAGTCTACTATTACAAAAAGTCATGGAAAGGTTTACACACAGCGAGAAACATTCTTTGATGGTTACAAGGGAGGGGAAGGAAAATTGCTAGCTAAGAGACATGCACTGATTTGGGTGAATGAAAGACAATTAACTAAAAGTAGGTGACTAGCAGACTATCACTAAGGAAAATGAATACATGGAGAGGTCCACAAGAGGTATAGACCATAAATGTAAACACATTTACACACACAATACTGCATCACCAATAATAAATATTAGGCTATGAGTAGATACATAGTTAGACAGGCAAAACAATCAGGTATGGGTAGGCAAACAGGACTAAACCCATGACCATATATAAGTTTGGCAGATAATTATCTCTACATGTACTATAAAAATGTCCATTTTTACAATACAGTTAGCAGGGGGGCAAAGTTATGATAACTTCTTAGCCACAAACAAATAGCTTGAGGGAGTAAGTCACTGGCCTGTGGGCTCAGGACCATAGCTGCAGAGGACATCAAGCTCAATTGGTAATAACATAATACACAAAACCATTGTTCTACATCCTACTTGAGGAGTGGTGACTGGGGTCTTAAAAGCTTTCAAGCAGCCATGTAAATGCAACTATTGGTCTTTCTTCATTCACAGCAAAGAAGAGTAAGGAAAACCAAAGATGCACGGAAATTAGCCCAAGGGACTAGTGGACCTGAGAAACGTGCTCCTGAGAGACACACGCTGCTGAGAAAGAGACACCAAGAGACATGCATTGCTGAGAGAAAGACACCAAGAAACACCCACTGCTGGGAGAGAGACTGAGAGAGACTGTTGGCTGAGAGAGGGCAGGGTGAGAGAGACTGAGCATGTTCCTGAACTTGAATTGTAGCCTGGTGCTTCCCTAATACACCCCATAATCTATGAGTTCTGTGTGGCCACCACAGCAAATTATTGAACCCAGCATAGAGGTGCTGGGTGCTGCAGGAGGAACAATTTGTGTCAGGGTTGGTGAAAGGGCTGGAGAGAGGGCACCTCAACTTATATGACCCTAAGACAAGAAGAACTAGATAGTGCCCAGCCACCACTGCCAACCACTCTGAAAGGGATCAAAATAGAAGATTCTGGACAGAGTCGGAGAAAAATGTGGAACAAAACTCAAAATCATAAAAAAGACCAGACTTATGGGTCTGATAAAGACAGGTGGTACTCCTGAGACTATGGCCCCTAGTCACACTTCGGGCCTGGAAAAGAATCATTCCCATGGCTCAACTTTAGCCAAACAACTGACAGGCCTATGAGATGAACAATTACACCAGAGAGGTATGCACTCCTTAGAACAATCAATCAGATTAATGGGATGGCATTTGCACAGGGATAAGCTCAGAAGACAAGAATGCACTGATAGGAAAGAAAGACACAGGAAAAAGGTGACCACATGGAGGAAGTAGGAAGAGAGCTATTACACTGTGGGGATTGCAATCAATGTCACAAAACAAAATGTGTGTGAACTGATGAATAGAAAATGAATTTGCTCTGTAAACTTTCATCCAAATCACAATAAAAAGTTTAAAAAAATAAAGATATTTGTTCTTTTTTTAAAGTAGCTAACCACAAATTTATAACTATATATTGTATAATTTAAAAGCTCAACTCTTCTTACCTGCTGTCATAGTTGGGCTAAATACTCCCAGTACTGACACATTAGAATAGGAAATCAGATCTTTATATAGTTTCCCACTTAAATATTCTTCTGCTTCTTGGACAGATGTTATATTCACTGGACATGAAATCCTGTTGCTGAATGAATATATGACTACATTCAAAATCAAATTTTAAAGATTGTTCAGCTTGTAAAAAAAAAGTACTGAACTTAGCAAACAATACAAATAAACTAAACATCTGACAAAATAAAGACAATTAAATACAATTCTTAAAAAATATCCTCATTAAACACAATTATTACTATCTTCTTAAAAATGATGGAATGTGGCTAGCTCTCTTCATCAATCTTTATTCCATCTCAATTCTAGAATCTCTCTTAACCCATTCTAAGTTCATAAATAAATTATGGGAATTAGTTTAATTTTATAGCTCTAAAATTATTAAATATCTTCTAGTGAAGTTGAATACTTACAGCTGGATAAATCTTAGAAGATCTTCAGTTCCTAGCATACCAGCATAAGATATTGGGTCCTCACCTTCCTTGTACATCTTTACAAGAGGAAATTCAGTAACATTTTCCTTAGTACATATGTCAGACCAATCTCCACAGTTTACTCTACAAAGTAACATACTGGATGAGCCTAAATGAAAGGAAAAGGTACCCTATGTAGATATTAACATAGACATTTAGTTGCTTACAATTTAAGTATTCCTTAAAAAACAACAATCATCAGAAAAGAATATTACGATATTGCAGTGTAGTAAATTATGTGGTATGGCTTTTCTAGCCGTAAGTCTTTGTAAACTCAGTGGTGGAATTGCCATGAGCAACTGAGGAGCTCCTGATTGTTAAAGTTATCCACCTGAGGTATTTCTGTTGAGAGTGGCACAAAGCAATGTTCTGGGAAGTTCACTCTCTCTCAGGTGCTTAGAATTCTGATGTTATGATTGGTTAGTTTGGCCACTCTGCCAGGCTCAAAAGGAGCCCTCCTAGAGGCAGAAAAAGTCTTTCTGACTGTTGGCTGAGAAGGACGTGCTGCTGAGAGAAACATGCTCCTGAGAGACACACGCTGCTGAGAAAGAGACACCAAGAGACATGCATTGCTGAGAGAAAGACACCAAGAAACACCCACTGCTGGGAGAGAGACTGAGAGAGACTGTTGGCTGAGAGAGGGCAGGCTGAGAGAGACTGAGCATGTTCCTGAACTTGAATTGTAGCCTGGTACTTCCCTAATAAACCCCATAATCTGTCAGTTCTGTGTGGCCACCGCAGCAAATTACTGAACCCAGCAGAGAGATGTTGGGTGCTGCAGGAGGAACAGCTGGTGTCAGGGTTGGTGAAAGGGCTGGGGAGAGGCAGCATGTCTGGCCTCGTAGGAATAGGCCTTGGGCTGCTGCTGATGGTTGTGTTGTCCTCTTATGGGGTTAGAGGAGGTCAGAAGATCCGGCTTCCTTGCCCCTTTGACAGATATCCTCTGTATAACATAATAATCCTAATTTAAAAGAATATGCAAGTACCAAATATTTGTGATATAAATTTCACTACAGAATTATTAGATCTTTTAATTAATTTCAATTAAATACTCAAATTTTTAAGAACCATGTGATACCTGCAGAATAAGAAAAAGCAATCAGAATGCTTGTAATAAAATCCTCCTTCAATACTGGGCAAATATCATATTAGTTCAGTATTGTAAAAAGTCAAAGAATGGTTTATATATGGAAGGAAACTTTCTTTGTCAGTTATCACAGGGGGGAGAGGAGGGGAGGGAACACTGCAAAAAAAAAAAAATCCTCCTTCTGTACCAAGTTCTCTGAAACATATAATGCATTCAGTTAGAAAATAATATTGCTTAGTAAAGGAGCCCTAGTGGTGCAGTGGTTAAAGCTCTTAGCTGCTAACTGAAACTTGGTGGTTCAAACCCACCAGCTGCTCTATGGAAGAAAGATGTGGCCCTCTACTTCTGTAAAGATCTATAGACATGGAAACTCTACTGGCAATTCTACTCTGCCTTTAGGGTTGCTATGAGTTGGATCTGACTTGACGGCAGTGGGTAGGGATGCTTAGTAGTTCAATGACAATTACTAAGAGCTCCTAAAACTATAATAAACCAAAGAAATCAAGCAAATGAAGTCTGTAACTTCATTCTTACTTATGTCCATAAATAATTTTTCTGAAAGATTGCAACACTGAATATTTTTATTTTTTAAAGAAGGAAACTAATCTTTATATTACTATTGTTGTTGTTGTTGTTGTTATGTGCCGTCGAGTCAAACCCGACTCATAGCGACCCCTCCTTGGGTTTCCGAGGCAGTATCACTACAGAAGTAGGATTGCCCAACCTTCCTTCCGAGGAGTGGCTGGTGGGTTAGCAGGCAAGTGTCTTAAGACACTATGGTACCAGAGCTCCCTTATATTACTGTACAACAGTACATATCATTATGTTACTATATATTTCAGGAATTGGACTTTCCCATTTCTGAGTTTACTGGTGTCTAAATATTATTTATTTTCAGCCTAAGAAAACTCACAGTGAAATCACAAACAGAAATGCCTACTTATTCTATAATAAAACATATAAATTTCTGGGTAAATCCTTATGTAGAAATCAGGGCTTCAAACCAATTAGAACTGGTTCAGTCATGGCCAATTAAGCAAAACCAGGACAGACTCAAATTTTTAAAATGTGGGTGATCTGGAATGTTAACCAGAATTGAAAAAATTATTGATTGAAACACTGGAATGGAAGGCTTGGAAGAATTGTAATGAGCCCTTTCAGGAGCCTGCTGTGTGACACTGGATTACTGACAGGACTGTGGAGAGTGGCATACAATCAAAGCACCATGGTTGGCTGCCATCTTTGAGCTGAGTATTCGGTTTCTGCTTCTACTGGTCAAGAGATTTGGTTGCTCTGCAAGCACACTGCCCTTGTTCTCTAAGAGAAAGATTCAGTTTCTAACAGCATGTGGACCAGTAATTTTTCCCATTTTGGTTAGCATTCTGGTTCACCACATTTTAAAAATTTGGGTCCATTCTGGTGTTGCTTCATCAGCTATGGTTAAACCAGGCTGAACCTGTTCAAGGCCTTGGTAAAAAGAGACCAAAAACCAAATACAACAAACACTATATACAACTTTGCTACTCAAAGGAAGGAATAAATTACAATAAAAAATAAACTTTAAAATGACATTAAGTCAAAGAAGGGATCTTTATATATCAATTTAGGATATAGCCTAATTGTAACCTAACCAGATGATTTATAATTGTGAAATGTAGTATTTTAATATTTTATCACTAAGAGTTTTTAATACTGAAACTCATTTTTGTATTTGAAAAGATTCTGATTATAGCTCATGGATGTAATAATTTATGACTTTAGATTTAATGTTAAGTGTTTGATAATATAGGTAGAGTCTAGTCTGTCTTATTTACTACTGTATCTCCAGTGCCCAGCACAATGTGTTACGTAATACATACCTAATTAAAATGTATGGCACGTACACTGATATTTCTTCATAAACACATTTAAAATTTTTACACTAAGGTATGTTAACATCTGAATATTATATGAGTATTTTTATAAATGAAGAGAAATTCTTATTTCTTTCCAAAATCAGATATGCTAAATGACTTCTCTACAAAGTGCTCCTATCCTTTATTTTAATTGTTTAGTCAATAAATACTCGGTGATGTTTGTTTTTGCAGAGTACTATGTATATACTGCTAACCAAGTATGGAATCCAGTGCAATTAGAGATACAGTTCTTTTCCTTTAATAAGTATCCTCACATAACCCACTGCTAAAATGTTTATTATTATTTCTTTGTTCCTACAGTCCAAGTTGAAAACATTGATGCTATCTTTAAAACTAAAAATAGAACCCTGATATCTTTTATTAAATGTTATAAGGCTACTTATACTGAAGTTATCACTTTGAAAGATTTATTTCCTTTCCTGTATAATAGTTTCCATATTCAATCGTGTTTCAGTAGAAAAAGTTAGTATTCTAAGACTCCTATAGCATTATATCCCACATATTTATCAATCTTAAATAAGGTTCCTAACATAAAGGAAAAAAAAATGTATTTTAGATACAAATACGTAAGTATAAAAACTTGACATTTGCTGCCACCTTGTGACTGAGTAAACTCGTCACCATCCTGGATTAGGATAATAAAATGTTTTTTTCCTGAGAAATCAAACATGACAAACAGATTATAGGCCTAACTGCCCAAAGTATTAGAAAAGTTTCCTAATTTGAAAGTTATAGAACAGGCTTCAACATATATACAAAATATTATAGTTACCTATACTAAGCACCTTTGCATTAAACCCCCTGAACTTCTAAAATAGTCCATTTATCTGATATCTAATTACTGAGAGGGCTGTTTTTCATTAAAAAATACATTGAATGAAAATCAAAGTAAGTCCTGAGTTACTTATCTGCTTTTTCACTCTACAAACACGTACAACTTAGAGGCCTTTCATTGAGGAGGCAGGCAGTCTCTCTGGCCATTTAATAGAAAATAAAGTAAGTAAATCTTTTTCTATTCTTAAACAGTATCTAACTAAATACGTGGAAGTGGGAATCAGAGAATTAATTCTATTATTCAAGGATATTACTATTTCATTATGGTTTGTATGTTCCCTTCTTTTCCTTTTTTCTACTTATGCCAATGAAGTTGGAGAACCTTAAAAAAAAAAAAAGAATCTTAAATTTTTTCATAACTTTCAACTATAAAAGACAGCCTAAAAGAGAACAGCAAGAATTGTTTTAAAAGAAAAAAAAAAAGATTCAAGATTACAGTATCTACAGACTTAATCACTCTTTCACTTAGTAATGAAATAATAATAATAAAAACTACATCAAATGTGATTGGGAAATGAATAAAAATCAGTCCTAAACTCTATTTTAGAATCTCTGATGTTTTAATGACTATAAAACATGTATTATTTAAAGTTCGCTTCATAGAATTAATTTCTTGAGTTCACAAAAAGTCCTTTCTGTATAAATAACATGTACACCAAAAGTTAGTTCTTTAAAACCAATACAGATTTTTCCATTAGAAAAAACAAAAAGTCATTATACTCTATTAGTTTACTGATTTATTCAACAACTGTTTTTTAAAAAAAATGAACAGATATTCTAAAACATAAGACAATATGCTTGCTTTAAAAAAAAAAATGAACAGATATTCAAAACTTAAGACAATATGCTTAGTCCAGTGAGTCAGGTATAAGGCACATGACCTGCCCATCAAGAACTTACAAAATAATGAAAGAGCCTATAAGCAATTACCCCCAAAAGGTGGTAGAGACAGTCCCAGAGTAGCCAAGAATAAGTCTATTTAATCATAGTAACTTCTATTTACAAGAAAAACAAAGTAGGAGAAAACCACATATTGGATACAAAGCCTAATACATTCTGTCTGATTACAAAATATTATGTACATCTTATCCACCATATCTCTCTTACTAATAGGCCTCCCTAGTTTTGTTATGTCTTTGCTAAGATGATGGCATAGACATTTTAAGTCCATTCCTTGAATACTTTTTTTTCGGGCTGTCACTGGGAGAGGTTTCATAAAATAACTAAAATAAAAAGCTCCTGGCTACTGAGAAATATCCTAGGCTATAAGGAGCCAACTATAGGTTCAAGAACACTAGAATCTTGGATCTTTCATTAGACTACAAGTGCTGTAGGAGACTGGGTCTCGTCTATCTTTTTATCTCCAGCAGCTATTAGTAACAGACACAGAACAGACACTAAATGTTTACCAAGCATATGGATTTAGCCAAAAAGGCCATCTATTGGATTTACTATGCAGCCACAGGTACCTACTACATGGACTCTCTTATTTTCTAGTACAGTCTGTTCCATGAAGACAAGTCAATGTTTTTGAGTATTTTTGAGACTTTTAGTTCATTAGCAGTTCAAATCCACCAGCCACTCTGAGGAAGAAAGAAGAGGAAGTCTGCTTCCATAAAGATTTACAGCCTTAAAAACCCTACAGGTCAGGTCAGTTCTGTCCTACAGGGTTTTTATGAGTTGGAATTGGCTTCATGGCACTGATTTAGCAGTGGGTAGTTCATTAAATAGGAGATCTGGTAGCGTAGTGCCTAAGGCACTTGACTGCTAACCAGAGGCTGGCAGTTCGAACGCACCAGCCACTTCTCAGAAGGAAGATGGGGCAATCTACTTCCGTAGTGATACTGCCTGGGAAACCCAAGGAGGGGTCACTATGAGTCGGGTCTGACTCAAAGGTACATAACAACAATAGTTCATTAAATTAACCTTAGAGACACAATCATAATAACCTGAACTTTTATGTAGATTTTTAGATCGTTAGCACCACACAGTGTTTTAGAAATAGCTACATCTCTGTATCAAGAAAATATGTACAGAATACCTTTCAATTCAATTGCCACATCAATATATGACTGCAGAAACGCCATGGATACTGGTTCCCCTACATTAAAGTAAAAAAAAAAAAATCAGCAGATATTATAACATGCATATACTTAACATGCATATATATATATTTTATATATATATATCATACAACATACTACGTCATTATATGACATAAATTTGAGGTTTTCCAAAATTGTTACTTCTTAAAAATAAACATCCTAGCATACAGCACTCAAAAACTTATAAACAGTTACAAATAAAACTAATTTTCTGCATGCATACTGTAAAAAATATAGTTGAATGACTATTATTTGAATAAAAAAGAAATATGTTGCTGTTGTTAGCTTCTGTTGAGATGGTTCATGATTCATGGTGACTCCATATTCAACAAAATGTAACATCACCTGGTCCTAAACCATCCCCCCATCGGCTGCTAATCAGACATGTTTGCAACGTGGTATGTTCTGATCCATAGGGTTTTCACTGGTTGATTTTTGGAAGTAAGTTGCCAGGTCTTTCTTCCCAGTCCATCTTAGTTTGCAAGCTCCACTAAAACCTCTTCAGCATCATGGCAACTGGAAGCCTCCAGAGACAGACAAGAGGCAGCTGGACATAAGGTGCATTGCCCGGAAAACAATTTGGGGTCCCTCTCATGGAAGGTGAGAATTCTATCACCGAACCACCAACGCCTAACAAAATGTAACATATTTCCTATAAAGCTACAAGAACTGTTAGTATATTAAAATCATTACCTTGAATGACAAAATTTTCTATATTACTTAGCCAAACATCCAGTTAATCATTACCCTTCAATGTGTAAATCAGTTTTACAACCCCAGATCAGTCTGAAGAAAACACTTCAACTTGTGCAGTCTATCTGGGACATATGAAAGCTGTCATATATCACATGAACAAGCAAAATATACAATGCAAAAATAAAATCTGTCTACTTTAAATGTTCTAGTACATTAGTATAAATCTTCCCATCTAAATGCTCATACTCACAACCAGCATAGAAGAGCACGATGCTGTCAGAAGACATTACTGTCGTGTTAAATGTCTCTTCTGTTAATTCCACTGTGAGTTCCAAAGGTAATTGTCTTTTTCTGTCTCTATAAACAGTTTCAGCTACTTCATCATCTTGAGTATCTGAAATGTTTGAAAAGGAATTAAATATAAAAGTATAATCCAAAATATTTAAGCTTTTCTCACAGGCAAGCATATAACAATTTGGTACTTCTGAATTCACAGTATCCTAATAGTTAAAATGCATGATATCTAGCAAACTTTCTAGTTGCTTGGCTTCCTATCTTAAATGCTGTACTTTTTTTCTGATCCAGAAAATGTACTAAAACAAACAAACAAAAAAAAACCTCATTGCCGTCTAGTCGGATTTGACTCATAGCGACCCCTCCTTGGGTTTCTGAGGCATTGTCACTACGGAAGTAGACTGCCCAACCTTCCTTCCAAGGAGTGGCTGGTGGGTTTGAACCGCCAGCCTTCTGGTTAGCAATCAAAATGCCTTAGGCACAACTCCACCAGAGCTCCTAGAAAATGTACAGTGTTAATTCCAGAAACAACAATTTAAATTCATTCTATAAATATGAATAGTCCTGTTTTGTTTCTAATAAATATATTTACAATCCAAAAAATGGTTTTACTGTACACATTTGATAGCATATATTTAGCCTTTACTACATGCTAGGCACTGTGACAAGCCTTAGGGTAAGTGGTAAACTAAATAGACAAAGTTCGTGACCAATGGAGCTTCTACCAATGGAGAACACAAAAAAAATTATAAAATAAACTAATCACTGAATAAATACATAATTACAAATTGTGATAAGTTGTGAAGAAATGTAAAGGATATAGTGAGAGATTATAACAGGGAGAATTAGAATGGGAAGCCAAGTTTTACCAGGAAGAAAATTTTAAAAAGTGTTTAAGGCAGAGAATAACATATGCAAAGACTCTGACACTAGGCACTGAGGGAAGTTGACCTAACTTGACTAAAACAACATGCAGTAGAAGGAATAAAAACAAGTAAAAATGTTAAGAGTTCCGGCAAGATGGCAGACTAGGCAGAA